CTGGGGACGCCCATGGCCACTGTTGTGTGAAATTGGGAGGGTAGGATATAAAATAGGGGAATTTAATGTTTACCTGTATGTTACGATTAATCATTAATAAAATAATGAAGTAAAAACAAAATGATTAAAATGGTTAATACTCATAAATAAATATATAAATAAAAAATGTATGTATAAAAAAAATTAAATTAATTATCATTATGGAATATTATGATAAGTGTATTATACGACCGGTTTCGAATAAAAATTCATCAGGTGTGTCAGTCAAAATGTAAAACGCGACTGAGTATAAAAAATTAAATGAAAGAATACATAGCAAGAAAAAAAAAATATTCAAATAATTGTTTGTTTTACATAGAATATAGAAATAATTTATTTTAATAGGAGAAATTATTTAAAATTTGTTATTATTAGACATAGATATGTTAAATATTTGGTTATTATTTATTATCTAAAATGTATTGAAATAAGATATTATTTTTAAAAACGGTTTGAACATTTAAAATATTATTAAAATTATTTTTCTTTATTTCATTTTGTAAATGCAATTTTTCTAAAACTTAATTAATGTAAATGTTATTTTGGGTATTTAATATTTTTATATCAGTATTAATATCAAAACTTAAATTATGGTTATTTTCTAAAACATGTTTAGTACAAAATTATTAAAATGGTTAACACTCGTAAATAAATAAAAAATGTATGTATAAAAATAAAATAAATAAAATAATGCTGACGAAAAACGATTCTGAGCGGAATTCGGCTATACATGTTTTAAAAGGACATAATATATACGATTTTCGTAAAAATTTGATATTAAAGTTCTTATAAAAAAAAAGTATTAATTGTTTACCTCTACTCTTTATACCTTAAATGTGAATACACTTTTGATTTTTAACAACCGATTCGAATAGAAAATCTTATTCTTCATATGCCAATATGCATACGTGTAATACATAACAAAATTAAAAATTTCTTGTACCAACACAAGTCAAACAGTATACTATGTAGATCATAGGAGTAGGCAGAGGTTGTCAATTTATCATTAAAAATAGATAGAAAGTTTATAAACTTTCTCTTAATATATGATTTAAGATTTTAATAAATCTTTTTTTTTTCATACCTAATTGAAAAAAAAAAATTATGAAACCTTTAATAAATAATAAATAAATTATGTAGTGATGTTTTATTATTGATTTTAATTGATATAGACATTTTAAAGTAATTTACTAGTAAAGTAAGTACCTATTTAAAATAATGTGAATGAGTGATCAACAAGCCATGACTAAGGATTTTTTAGGGGTTTTGGGTTGCACTATAATTTCATAATATTGTAATAATAATTAATTATTGATAATGCTTAGTTATAAAATATCATGTTTAAACTTAGTTTCAAATTTTATGAAAATGTTATTAAGTACTGGGGCTTCTAAAATATTATTAACCAGACTTAGTGATCAACATCCAGTTTATATCATAGTTACTTTTTACTTTTTTAATAGTATATTAACATACACAGTTGAATAAACTAAAATACAAAAATATACTGATAATTAATTGTAATTGAAATCAGTCAGTAAAAGGCAGCACACCTTTAGCACAAAAATGTGCAATACAAACTTACCTAAAGGTATCTAAATATGTTTATTTATTCATATTTAAATTTCGATTTATAATTTTATTAGTTATGGACAAATTTTTTTATGGGTTTATAATAACTCCTGGTGTTCAGTTAAGTTCAGTTCGAAATTAAAGCTGAATAATGCAAATGGTCAAATGGAACTTAATATTTGAAAATCTAACTTATTTTATTGAAGAGGAATACAACAATGAATTGAAATTTATTTTGGGTTATATCAGTTAGCAAAATGTAATTGGGTATTAATTTCTAAAATATACATATTAACTCTTGCCATCAAAACACAGAATACTATTTTTAAATATTGCAATATTTGATATAGTTTAGAATTTTAAACAGTTAGATTATTTTTTTAAAGTCCTATTTAGATTTAAATATAAATTGTAAGTTAAGTTTAGTTTGATTAAAATTTAGTGTTTGTAACACCACTAAACAAGATTATACTTTTTAACTCAACTTGTATGAAAAAAAATTAATATTACACTGCAGTTCATTCAAATTGGAGTTTGGTATAAGTAGCCCCAAACTCGAGGTACGGCTCAAACGACTGGCCACCCAATTCTTTTGTAGGTGCCAGTGGTAAGAAATGTATATATTAAAAATATTTATAGTATTTAGTATTTATAGAAAATAAAACTATAAAAAAAGTACTATGAATTATGTAATATAATTTATATATTATGTTATATAATATAATAATCGGACTGGTTTGCCAAATATTTTTAAACTTCTCAAACACCACAGAACTAGTAACTAAAAAACAAATTGATTAGAATAATCAAATACCGTATATACATAAATGAATCTTTGTGTTATTTAAACATAAATATTAAAGATTTATAGAGATCAAAGAAAAGTTTTCTTCAAATAAAGAAAACCAAAATC